GAGAAGGAAACAATTTCAATAGTTTGAACTAAATATCATATTACTGAGTTCCCAGGAGAGAAATATAAATATGAGTTAAACTTCTGCAGAAAAGAGTTATAACAATGATTATGTGTCTGAGGAGGGAGAGTTCCTCTAGCCCTGTTAAACTTAGAAGCAGAAAAAGAAGCAACATCCCAAGAGGTTCTGTCTTAGGAGGTTTATATTCAGGGGAATAAAAGATGTAGTCGAGGCCTTCTGGAAAAAATGTCTTTCCCCAGTACCTACCTACTTACTCCCCAGGTAACCTGAACACCTGTGTTCAAGTATATAAGTACTTCCAGGTTGACAAAGTCACTTAACATACTTCAACACAGGATCTAAAGCTGGCTTCCATGGATTCATATCCCAGAACCACCACTTCCTATGTGCCACCTTAGACAAGTGTATGTGTCCTGGGCCTCAGTTTCTTCATCCATAAAATGGGGCCAATGAGTAGAGTACTTTCCTCCTAAGGTGGTTTGAGGTTTTGATAAAGGAATCGGTGCAATGTTTGCCATGTAGTAGGACTTAATACCTGTAAGCTATTAGTAGTGGTCACACCAATATTGTACTATGTGGGATCTACCATTTTTAAAATAGAGGTCAATATCTCAGGGGAATGATGGTTTGTTAATATCACATTTTAGCTTGAATAGATTCTTGGGGTTTCCTTATACCCTGAAATGATAGACTCCTGATCCTTCCCCAAAGTGCCATATGTACCCAGTTCAGAATTTCAATGACATTTATCTAAAGTCCTAGAGACACTAAAACAAGCTTTTCTCTCTGCTCCTTGAGTGATGAAAATATTAATAAAATGAGCTCAGAAAAGCTCCGTGAAGTCATAAGTGGCATGACTCAGAACTGACTCAAACCTGTGGCATGACCGTCCATGCGAGGTCACCACTGGGGCCTCCTGGCTCCCACCTTGCTGCAAATAACCGGAGACAACTACTTACACTCAACAACATGATTGCAGATAAAACAAAATGATATGTTACCATCTTTTTGACTTGACCATATTGTTGATTTTTAATTTGTTTGCTCATTTATTCATTCATGCATTTATTCATCAGATATGCATTGAGTGTTTACCGTGGGCCAGACAGTGTTCTGGAGATACAAACATGAATCAGACACACTCTGCTCTCACATAGTTCATAGTCTAGAGTGGGAGAGACACTACTGTAAACCACTGTGATAGTTGCTATAAAAAGGATCCTGTTCAAGATGCTGGATTGGCCGACAATAAAGGAGTGTTCAAGGAGTGTTCTCTTGTTTGAGAAGGACAAGTCCAAACTAACGCAGTTGTTATTGGAGTTTTTCGAGGACACCAGAGTAGTAAGTGAAGAAATTTGCCTGGGGAAGAAATGTGTGTTGTATTGTAGAAAGAGGGAAATGAATGTGCTACATCACCGAGATATTTACCAGCCTGGTGTGATTAGGAAAGAGCAATTAAATCAGGAGATAAGAGAAGAGGCTTTGGGCCTTTGGCAGTTCTGCAGGCAGCAACAGTTGTACTGGGTGCTGGGCGCAGCTGGGGGCAGAGGGCAGCCTGGGTGTTGGGTACCATCCTCCCACCCTCCAGGCTACGCTTGCAGTGGGGCAGGTCGTGGGCAGGCCAGCGCAAGCTCCTGCCTCTGCCTCTGCCTCCGCCTGCCACCTCCCTGTGCTGGCATGGAGACCCAGGCGACAGCCACGACGTCACTGTGCCCACTGGCATGGCTGCCTGCTGGGCCTGCGGGAAGTGCTGCTACACGATGCGTGGGTGGAGGCGGCCGAGCTGGTCAGTTGATGACCTTTCTTATTAGCATCATCAGTTCCATATTCTGTGGACATCTCAGCAAAGTCGAGCTGGATGCTGTTACACTTGGTGTCACAGTTGTGAATGCTGCTAGGATTTCACTTGGAACTGGATTAACCTGCCTTGTGACCCGATAACACCTCAGTCCCTTGGAGGCAAGAACCTAAAACACGTGGAGGCTAGACTTCCAAGAAGAATCCTCATCTTGATGCTGCGTTGCTTTCCCCCAGGCCATCTTCATACATACGGAGAGCATCCTGCTCTCAAAACAAGACCGTGACATCTCCAGGATGGCTCACATTTATATGGTGATTCTCATTCCTGCTCTTCCAGCAACATTCCTGTTCCAGCTGCAGAAAAGACACTTACAAAGTCAGGGCATCATCTTGCCTTAAGTTGTTACTGGGTTCGCTTTGAATGTTGTCACTGTGGGCACCAATGTTCTCTTGCTGCGTGCCCCGGCCCTGGGAGTGGTAGGTTCTGCCTTGGCCAACACCACCTCCCAGTTCTTCCTGTCTGCCCTTCTTTACTTCTACGTGTAGTGGGAAAAAAACCCACATTGACACCTGGGGAGGTTGGAGTAGGGACTGTTAATATTTCGAGGAGTGAGGCTTCTATATCCAGCTTGGTAGTCCCAGCACGTCAGTGGTGTTCATTGAGTGGTGGACCTTTGAGATTGGAACGTCCTTGCAGGACTGATTAATATGACAGAGCTGGGAGCCCACGCCATCATCTGTGAACTGGCTTTTGCAGTCTACATAGTGCCTCCTGGCTTGTGCAGCAGACATTGTACGAGTGGGCAATTCTCCGGGGACAGGGGGAGCAGAGCAGGCTGGGTGCTCTCACATCCCTGTTCACCTGTGTGCTGGTGTGTGCACTTGTAGTAGGTGTTTTACTTGCAACTTTTGAATGATGTGATTGTCTGTGTATTTAACAGTGACAAAGATATTATTTCCCAAGTGATGCATTATTTTGCTGCTTTTCATCTATTTGATATACTTGTAGGCTCCTGTGGCAGAGTCCTGAGAGGTATGGGAGAATAAAAGATGGGCGCTATCTTGAATGCCATTGGTTATTATCTTTTTGGTTTTCCCATTGGAGTATCTCTGATATTTCCTGCTAAACTTGGGATAATAGGTCTTTGGTCTGGATGAATAGTTTGTGTCTTCTTTCAAGCCCTTTTCTATTTGGTGTACACCTTGAGAACAGATTGCAATAGAGTTGCAGAGGAGGCCCAGGTTTGAACTGGTCTAAATGGGAGTAAAGAGACCAGACCTACCCTCACAGACCTGCCTATCTCAGAAAGAAGACTAACCCATGGTGTGATTTTTGTCTGGTATTACCAGACCAGAGAGCCAAACCAACCAAGTGGTGGAAGAAAACACCTAGTATGCAGTGACCAGATCACACTGCGGATGTTTTGACAGAGAAACAGTTGATTTTCTATCCTGGAATGTTGCCTTAGCTGTGGCTTTTCTTGTCCTTTTATCAGGAATTTTAATAAGAGTTTTCAATGACCATGGCAAAAATAGAAAAATTACCACCAGCCTACAAACTAGAATTGATAATATGCCATACATTAAGCAAGGAAGGTGACCTTGTTATGCAGACAGTGGTTTTACTGTCAACTCTGAGTAGAAAGGATATCAGTGACATTTCTTGGTTATTCCCAGTAACTGCACTCTCCTATTTCTTGATTAAGAAAGAAGCTATAATCTTAAGTAAATTTTTCTCTGTTAACTATCATGGTTTCTAAATACATAAATTTGATTTTCTCTGCTGAAAATGTTCTTTACTCTTTTCTTATATTGAGTATCTTTCTTCTTCCAGCAAAGCAGTTTGCTGTCCTGTAAAATATTGTTGATCTAGTCTTTCGTATTTCTCTGTTAATGTACTTCATCTTGTCAGTGAGTGTGTATTTAGTACTTGTTCAAGTCCCATCTGAGGTATTTCCATGTACGCTTTTATAAAATAAACACCTTAATATTTAAAAAGAGAGAAGAAAAGCAGGGGCCAGTGAAGGATAAGATTGTGAGGCTCACACTGAGGAAGACATTGGGCTTGAGGCAGGAACGTGATATACTCAAGTTTGCACTTTAGAGATATCATCCTGGTTGCTAACGTTAGGAGGGAACAACTGAGGCGACAGAAGCTAGGGCAGGACCACACACACTGGTCAGCGAGGAGGCTACTGCAAAGGTCCAGGCACAAGTTTCTAGGGAGCTGAGTTGAGACCACAGCAGTGGGATTGGAACAAGGGAAGAGTGAATTTAATATATAGGAGGTAAAATCTACTGGGCATTGTTGCTAATTTAGAAGAATCAGGGAAAGAGAGGAATCTTGTGGGGAGGAAAACAATTCACCATCTTCCCAGTGGATATAGTAATTGGGCGCTAAGTGGACCTTATATAAATTTACATGGAGCTACACTTTCTGACTTCTGACTCTGTCCACTGCTTTTGTGCCTCACCAGTCAGCTGGGTTTCCTTTTGGGAATCAAGATCTTTTAGGAAATCAGTTTACTGAACATCTAAAATCCTTTAATGGCTCAGACTGGCACAGCTGAGTAATGAAATGCCGATGGTATGGCGAAACTTATTCCCAACCCTGCTGCCAGTGGTAAGGTCCCGCATGACACAGAGAGATGACTAACAGGTGAGGGAGGATGTCAGGGTCACCCGACAGATGTCGTTACAAGTTATGTCAAATGATCCAGTAATGGCATGATCATTTATTTAAGAAACCAACAAGTTGGTATCAGTATGGACTAGATGCCAGATTCTGGAATGCGTGCGACAAATGCTGGGCTTTCTTAGAAATAAGGACGCTACCTTAAAAAATAGCCCATACTTTAATTCATTTGACAATGATTAAAACTAACATCATCAATAATTTATTATTATAGATACCAGACAAGGTGTAAGATACATAAAATAATTTCATTTAATTTTCAGATCAACTCTGAGGCAGATATTGTTATCCCAAAATTAAACGATTTTGTTATGATTGTGAGTTCTGCAAGTATTAGAGTCCAGATTTAGTCTTACCACTGTGAATAAACCAGTTTACATGTCTGAGAATAAATTGAAAACCTTGTGTTTGTCCTAAGTCTCTACGTAAGACAAGGAGTAGCATTTTTCTTAAGACTAACACTTTTTTTTTTTCCTTAAATCAGATGTCTAGGATATTTCGACGTTCTTCTGGAGGGGGTCGATTTATCAAATCACATGTTATCAGAATAAGGTATGTGAACTTGGTTTGTAACTTCAAACCAGTACTGTTAAGATGAGTTATTTGGTTAACATGATTGCTCAGCTGCCTGAGAGAATCTTTGCAGCAACACAAAGATTTCATAAATTCTGAACAGCCCAAGCTATACTACCTATTTCTCAGGCACAATAGGAAGATGTAAAGTGCTCTATGACAAGAAAATCTCAGTTATTAGACAGAAAAAAGAGAAAAAAACACACAGAAAGAGGAGGGACGGTGCTGCTAATATCTCCTTCCTCCTCTTAAACTAGGGACTAAGTAAAATTTATGTCTTTTTAATTTTCCTCATTTTAAGTCTATCCAACCATTAGACTATGACTTTCTCTGCAGTAAGGTTTTTCTTTAATGAGAGTGCATTTTTATTATTTTTAAATGCCTTTTCATTTTGATGCTTTGGAGAAAGGCAATAAACATAAATGAAACATGGAGTTATCATCAAAGACTATCTCGAATGTGTTTTTTATACGATGTCTATAAGGCTTAGATTCCATAGTGAAATATGTAATTGTAACGTTTGTTTGCTTCACTTCTTGGGGGTAAATATAAATATGGTTAAATGATTAAGAAGCCTATGTCTTTTCTTTCCCTCTTGCCCTTCTTTATTTCTTTTTTACTTCTTCTTTCCCTTTTTTCTTTCTTCCCTCCCTCCTTCTTTCCTTTTCTTCCTTCTTTCCTTCCTTTTTTCTCTTTTGTCTTTCAAATTAAATTCATTCTCAAAAGGTTAGTTGAGGCTTTCTAGCCCTATACATCACAATAGAAATTTATGTATTTGAACTGTTTATCAAATGATTTTTTATAACTGCTTTCTCTAATCACTCATTCATTAACTGACCACCAAACCTCAAAATATCAGTGTTTTAATACAGTAAAGGTTTATTTCGTTTCCATGATACAAACCAAAGAGACGTGAGTGCAAGGGTGTGGTCACTGGTGGGGACCGTGGAATGGAATTGTCCACGGAATCTTCTGCATGTGGTTGGCAGACAATGAAAGAGGAAAAGCAAAGAAAAAGCTGTGAGAAGTCTTATTAGGAACCAGGCCTGGAAACGGAGGGCGTCATTTCTGCCTGCATCCCATTGGCCAGAATTCATTGGAGAGTTTGAACAAACTTCAAGAGAGGCTAGGAAATGAAATCTAGCTCTGTGCTCGGGAGGCAAAGGAAACTGGGTTTTGTAAACACAAGCATTGTCTCTGTCATACCACTAGTGAAGAATAATTACATTCATTTCAACTTTTGCTCAAAATGCCTTAAAAAACAAGTCTTGTAAGTGCATGTAAAGCATGATTTTTATAAGCATGCCTTCCTGAAAACCCCTCTAAACTATAAACTAAGTAAGAGCAGCGAACAATTTTTTTCAGGTATATCTTATCCAATATTTCTAGCATCTTGCCTCTGTTTCTTGAGTGCTTCCAACACTTCCTGATCATTGTATTCTCATTTCTATTCCCTTTACCTAGAGATAATTTAAAAATCTGGTATGGACATATGTCATCCATTACGTTTCTTTAAATTTAATGTGAATCTTAGGTAAAAATAGTTGATGATTAAAGAAATGTCATTATTTATCTGCTTTTTTGCTCTTCAGTCCAGATGAACAAGGTGTAAACATTCTTATGGTGCTAATGTTTCGATACCCATCTACTGACAGTATTGAACAAATCAAGAAAAGAATCGAAAAGATTTTTTATCAAAATTTGAAGATTAAACAGTTGCCTTTGACTATAAATAAACCATCATTTAGACTCACACGTAAGTCATTTTTTGTTTATTTGTTACCATTTTTTGTGGTTTCCTGATCTCTTAATTCCCTTCACTTTTCATAAGGATTTGGTCACTATATTCTTCCATTTTAAGAATTCACCACTGATAAACACACATCAGTGTAGAATAAAACTAAAATAAAAATTCACCATGAGGCAAAATTTAGCACTGGAAAATGTTTTTCATATTTTACTAGAGCTTTTGATAATGTTTCTAAAATTTTTCCCATATAGTATGTTGTTGGATCCTCATGAAAGCACCAAAGGTAGGTATTATTTTCACTATTTCGTAGGTATAAGGCAGCTGAGACTGAAGGAAGATGTGAGACATGGGATTAACAAACCCTGGGGCTAGAATTAGACGTAGTAATGTGACTCACAGAGCTCTGTGCAGGCCAATTCTGGGGGTGACCTTTTGTAGTGTCAGAGAAACAGACATATTTATGAAGGTCTACCCCTGTAGAAAGAACTCGTGACATCAATTGTAGAGGTTCTCTAGCTTGTTTCCAACTTAAAACTATTTTTCATTTATTTCCTTATTTATTCCTCACAAACCTAAAGGAAAGTTCTGGTTTTGTTTCCCTCCCGAGGTAGAAAAAAAGGACATTCAAAAAGTTTATGAAACTTAAAATGATATTTTATTAAAAAGGACACTTACACTTGAATGTTTATAGCAACACAATTCACAAAGATGAGGAAGCAACCCAAGTTCCCATCAATATATGACTGGATTAATAAAATGTGGTATATGTATACCATGGAGTATCACTCAGCCATAAAAAATGGTGAACTATTAATACTACCTATTGTAACAACCTGGATGGAACTGAAGACCATCCTCCTAAGTGAAGTATTTCAAGAATAGAAAAAAAAATACCATATGCATTCACTATTAAATTGGAACTAAATGATCAATACTCAGTGTACATATGGTAGTAAAATTCAATGGAAATTAAGCAGCAGAGGGAGGAGGAGGGGATGGATAAATTCACACCTAATGGGTACAGTGCACACTATGTGGGTGATGGACACACTTATAACTTTGATTCTGTGCAGGTGAGAGATGTAAGAAAAAAGCAAAAAGAAAAAAAGTAATTCATGTAACCAAAATGTTTGCACCCCCATAATATGCTGAAACAAAACAAAACAAAAAACTGCCTTACAGCTAGTTGGAATCCAAGCCAGGAGGAATTTCCAGTTTTCTCTGCCAATGTATAATTGAAGGACGTAAAATAATGTGCTTCAAATGAAATTTTAAGCGTGAAGGACAGAAACTGTGACGTTTTATTTTCTTACCCCTCCCTTAAACACTAGCACATATCTTATATGTGATAACTATTCCAGCTCTGTTCATTGCTTCTCATTACGTATTTCCAAATTTAGTTACTTCTGATTTAATACAAAAAAGAGCACAGAGGGTGGAGGGTGGGGGGCTTGCCCTCTGGACCCAAAAGTCTTTTCTTCTCCCAGTAGCCATGTATTGAGGAAACAGAATGTCAAAAGTTAATTTCTTTGTTGTTAGAAATCAGGAAAGCCCCTTAAATACATTTTGATATATTAGTGATAACGTTTCATGAAGTGATTAGAAATAATAAAGAGTATGGTATCCACCTTCATTGTTAGTCAATTGTATTCCAAAGTAAAGCATAATATTTTCCAGTATTCTATAAATGGAAATATAAAATTTAATCTCAATTCCTAATAATATAACTATCTCTAAGCCATAACCATATATGCTAAAGTAAAATATCTATCATAAAAATGGCATTACATGATGTGTACTGAATTATTAAAATTGTAGAGTTTCTTATTATTTTTAAATATAACATTTTGACCTTGTCGGTCACGTACAATGACTTTTAATTGCACAGCTTGTTTTAATGCCAAAATAACTATATTCTATGACCATGCTCAATAATAAAAATTCAACTGCGTATATTTTCTACTGCCACATATAATGGACTTTATTAAATAAAGAGAAATATCCAGGAAACTTCCAGGAGGAATTGGGGCTCCTGTATCTCTTTGAGGCAAGTCAACGTTCTTGACAAAATCACTGTGTATTTCTCCATTTTCTCACAAATAAATGAAACAAATGATCAGTAAACCAACAAAAATTTAATGTAGCTGAGTTAAAATGAATATGAATGAATAAGTGTGAAGGGAAAAGGATTTTGCGGAGAGGAAGTGTAACGTGGAGTGGGGGTGTGTACGGGCGGGGTCTCTGGCCTGGCTGTGTGCGAAAGAGCTTCAAGCCTTCTGCCTGAGTCACAAGCTTGCAAGGCAGTCACCACGAGGGAACAGCCTCAGTGAGAGAAGGTTATCAACCCGCATTGACTAAATTCCTACTCCGTTAGACAAGGGCCTTGAAATTGGGCCATGTAAAGGAAAATGAAAATCTCAGGACCACCCCAACTCTTTATGCAAAAGGGAAGGTCAAGTCTGGAGACTGAGTCATGCAACATCCCCTCCCAAAGGAATAACTCTTACTAACATCATGCATTAGCCAAACCGCCATGGAAAGGTAAAAGGCCTCAGGCATCTACGAAGGATGCCCCCCCGCCACCCCAGATCATTCATAAGGAAATTCTTTGCTGGCCTCGCATAAACAAGGACGTGCTGATCATAGCTTTAGGTCTGCCGTCTAACTCTACCTCCTAAAACTAAAGTCTGTTCAATTCCACGCTGATCATGTTGATTCCAAGCTTTACCTTCCCAGGTGCAGAACAGAGACAAGACGAAATCAATCATTCTCCCACCTACCCAGGGACATCTACATAATTGATTCTTCCTTCACTCCCTTTTTCTCTTTGAACATTCACCTTGTCTTGTGTCAAATGTAGATATCCAGGGCCTCACAAGATTGTAGCCATTTGCCTCACTACTCATCCCCCTCCTCCTCTTTCTTTCTGCATGCCCTGTCCCCTTCAATACGGGAGCTACCAAATTCTTCTCCAGAAAAAACAGTCAGAGATGCCTTCTATGGCTTGTGTTTTTCCTGGGTTTGTCCCCAGACTTTGCCTTTATACCCTTCTATTGATTGAGATCTTTGCCTCACTTTGTGCTGTGAACACTGAGGGGTCTGTGATGTCGTTAGCTTCTTGGACCTGCCCTTTCCCACTGGCCATTGGGAACATGCCTGAACCACAGAGACCAGTAAACACCAGTTGTGACAGGAATTGGTGGTTGCTGCCTGGTATTAATTACAGTGGAGCCCCCTAGAAAGCAGTGAGGGATATTTACACTGATTCATTCTTTCTTAATTTCCTATTTTCTGTTTCCTAAGCAAAATCAGAAAATAAAACGGTCTCTGATTTTCAATGCAATTATAAAATTTAAAACAAAAATCAAATCTAACCAGAGCAAAGGGTTATCTATGTATTAGTTGATTATGAAAAATCTTTTGCTCTCTTGAAATGTGTGTGCTTTGGATAATTAGCATTTCTATTAACTACCATTTGACCAAAAGAGATGAAAATGGAAATATATTCTTCTGCCAACTAATTTATGTTTTGCTTATTTCAGCTATTGACGGCAAAAAGATGAGAAATCTTCTCAACAGTCGTAAGTTCCAAAACCCACAATTTATTCTGTTTCACGTAAAAATAATGAATAGAAGCCACAGAAGGGTTAGAAGTACAATTTACTAAGCTGCTTTTTTTGCTTGTTTTATATCTTTCTAAATCACTCAGTCCTTTTATTATTTTTAAAATTTAAAATATTTAAATTTATACATGTATACCAGATACAATTTTAAGTTGTATGACCTATGGGATGTGGTAAAACACACACACACACACACACACACACACACACACACACACACAAACATAGTATTCTAGATATTATACTATTAATTCTCTTTAAATAATGCTTTAATGTTCTCTCACAATTCAAGAGAATGTTTTAAGCTGGCAACTAGACTTGCTCAATATTTTTAGTTTTCTTGCATTTTTATTGACATATATGTACATTTTCTGCTTCCTCCCACCCTGCACTCCACATTCCAGCTTTGGTATATATCTCTGGTATGTTGCAGACAAATATATATCCATTAAAAATATTGTAAGGGCATTTTCAAGTCTCTTTTAAGGTTAATTTGAACTCTAATCAATTGCAGGTTTGCTATCAGGGAGTAATAATTTTTTTAAACTAGTCTTTCAAATTTTAGAAGAATAAAAAGCTCAATATTGTTTAAGACTGTTAAAATACAGGGCTTTGAGAAAACAATAAGTCGATTCTCTTCAGTTATGTCAAAGGCAGTTCTTGACCTACTTTCAATATTGGGCCCTCTCTCAGTAGTTTTAATAAGAATACCACTGGCTTTGGTGTGGATCCTCCTAATTTTATATCTCACTCTGTCACTTACCAGTGGGGTGACCTCCAGCAGTGTTTTCTCTCCAAGGCCTCATCTAAAAAGTATGTTTCTATAAATACAGCTAAAACACTTCTCAAAGGGTCTATACATTTTTGATGCTCAATGAATTATCTATCTATCTATTTATGCTTTATAGAAAGACAGAAGTTAAGTCCTGGACTGAATGCCTTGAACTATTAGTAAACATTTCATCTGAACTTCAATGGGATCAGTAAGACCCACATAAAGTAACCTCAAAGGCTGAATGCTATGCACGGGTTAAAAAGTCTCCGGGACAAAGGATTGTCTAAGCATCTACACCCAAGGCTAATCAGGATTTGCTTTTTTCCTTCTTTTCGGTGAAAACAAATTAACATGTATTTCTGTGACAGGCTGTGGGATAAGGATGACATCTTCAAACATGCCATTACCAGCGTCCTCTTCTACTGAAAGGATTGTCCAAGGAAGGGAAACAGCTATGGAGGGGGAGTGGCCATGGCAGGCCAGCCTCCAGCTGGTAGGGGCAGGCCATCAGTGCGGAGCCAGCCTCATCAGTAACACGTGGCTGCTCACAGCAGCCCACTGCTTCCGGAAGTAAGTTCCCAGGGCTGTTGGGAGCCTTCTCAATTGTCACTTGCCATCGATGCAGTGCATAGGATGAGTTCAGTTATCGCCAGTTCATCCTCTGCTCCGTTCAGGGTGGACCCTTCTCTGTCCTCTAGATGCATCATGCTCTCTATGTGCCTGATCTCTGATGCCTGGTTTGTGCCATAGTCCTCATCATCTATTTCTCTATATCATCAAGACCCTAATGCTGTCTTTCCTACTATATCATAGTAATTTTACTGTAAAGGCTAAATATACATGTAACAAGTTTAATCTCTTCTACATACTCAAGAAAAAATAGCTACTGCTATTCTATTCTCTTTTTTCCAATTAATCGCTTTAATCTCCCACTGTCAGCATCAGCATTGCTTTAAAAATAAGAAAAGACTCATAGGTGTCCCCTCTTGAAGCTCTCCCCTCTCTGCATTATCTAAGAACCCCGGCAGGCATGTATGGTCCAGAGGGGTGTGAGGAAGATGGAGGAGACCCGCTACCTTGTCTCTCTGCCCTCACAGTGTTGAAGACTGGTCACGTACAACCCAGCAGGAGTTCTCTGCTTGGGCTTTCTAGGTCGTAGCTCTTAAAACTTAGCCATGTTAATTCACAGACACAGACATACACAGGTACCCCATTGCCCCAGGAAGTCAGGGACACACCATCTTTCTTCCCTGAGTTTTTACCATCGGAGTACAGAAAGCTTTTCCTCTTAAACTCTCAAAAGACAAAAACTCTGAATAAAGTCCCTTTGCCTGGCCAGTGGCACTACTTATGCACCCTTCTGAAGGAGCCTATCCTCGGTGATTCTAGAAGGCTTGTTATCATCCTTCCAAGGGTGACACCCCAATGGTTTCAAGACACTTATATCCTTCTTTATGGGATAGAGGCATGATGAGAATGCCCCAATGGATTTAAGGTGGTTGTCACTTCCTTACTAGAGAACAGAAAGAGGACTCATTTACATATATTTATAACTCCCAGAGTAACTAGTATCATGCCTTAGAGGTAAACTTGGGTATGCTATCTTGTTAAGGCTTTCTGATTTTTTCACATTCACAGTCCTCCAATCTTTGCACTTGTTTTTGTGAGAGTGTCGCCCACTTTAGTTTCCAACTGATCTGTTTGTGTAAATTAAAAATAAATAAACCCAGAATGCCAACTTAATATTTAGTGAGGAATATAAGCTATCGTGATGAAGATACTTGTTTCAGCAGGTCCAGGGAAGTCTCTGTGTACTAACAGATCCACATGGGAATTGGTCATTGAGCTTGATAAAGTAGCGATTACTGGTGACCTTGATAAGAGAAATTCCAGTGGTATTATAGGAATGGGAATGGATTCAAGAAAAAATGGAAGGAGGTTTGGATGCAGTAAGTCTAAAAACCACTCTGGAGGAGTTTTTAAATGAAAGGGAGCAGAGATACTTGACAGTTGAGGGCTCAACTTCAGTTGTGCAGCCAAAAGAAGGATTTTAAAAAATATGGGAGATGTATTATAGCATATTTTATGCTGATGATAATAATCCAAAAGAGTTGAATAAAGTAATGACCATGAAGGAAAAGGGTTCAATCTGGGGAGTGACATGATTTCACGTAATTGTACAACGTGTTATCCTTTCGTGAAGGAAAAATATAGGGTACTTTGAGGACAATATTGCAGTTATCCAAATAATTTTTAAATTTTTGTAAATGTGTGTTTTTTTCCTGCAGAAATACTGCATTTTAAAAAATCATGTTTAAGACAAATCTTAGCACCTTTATGTCCATGAAAAATGATCCCAGTCTTTGAGCAACAGTGTGGGTTGTGGAAAAGACCTTGACAAGATGTCAAGAGACCTGGGACGTCTCCTTTTGATACTAACCAGCTGTATATGAATATATCGCTCATCTGGGCAAGTCACTAAACTTCTGAACCTCAGGGTCCTTATCCACAAAACATGTTGAATTCAGCCTCTCACACAAGGCTTCTCTCATCGACAATGCATAAAGGAATGGGATAATTCTATTTTTTCTACCCAATTAATTTTTGAACCCTTTAAGGCCTGGAGTGGTATGTCTCCCAGAATTCTAGTATCTAGAGTCTAGTTTTCAAACGAATGCTTCAATCCTAAGATTTCTGCTTTGATTAAAGTCTTCCCTTACTGTGTAAATAAGTAAAAGAGATGAGAGCAGAGCCCCATCTCTTCTCCCTGAGCTATGCCTGCTCACTCCTAGGGCAGTGCAGAGTACTATGAAAACCACTGATCTTTCAGGTTTTTTACTACACGTAAAAGTTGGTGATTCACCAACATAGTAATCCCACATGAAAGAGGAAATACCCTTTTTGAATTGTCCTCTGTGTGATTTCCTTCCACGTAATTTTTTTTTTACTCAAACAATTTCAAGTTTCTGTATGTTTCCAATCATTCTTGATAGGGATAATTTTAAAAAGAAGGAATTGGACTTCGGAGGAGAATGAGGAGGTAAAGTGATAATAGCACTAGATAGAATTTGCTTGTGATATAAAACTCCTGGCAGAGAAAAGCGTCTATGTGAAGGGAGACAAGTCTACTAAGTGGGACTGACCAGGCCAGATGAAAGGGTGGTAGAAGCATGAATTCGAGTTAGGGCTGCTTCACCCTTGAACATCAGGGAGGGGTATGGGAAGAGGGTGGAGAAACAACCCTGTGTATACATGAGGTTTGCAAAACAGACAAATATACTTTACCTCAAAGATCATGGTAAACGAGCCAACAAGTGAGTCATAAAATAAGCATGGATTTGATACAGAGGGAAAATGTCTCTTAGTACGCATATCACCCAAAACAAATCAAAATTAGTTTCTACACAGTTCATTTAAATTAGAAAGAGAACCTGAAGAATTGCTAACAAGCAACGGGTTTAAAAATTAAACATACTAATTAATTATACCCAATTAATTGCATTAATTATAGGAACTCTTTTTCCCATAAAGTCAACAACTGCAAATTCTCTTACCAAAGGAATTTTTCAGGAGCATAATCCCAATAGATGGGGAGAGATACAATCTCAATCTTTTTTTAAGAATAAAGTTAAGCATCACAAACTTTACCCTTTAATGTTTTGCAGAAATAAAGACCCAAGTAAGTGGATTGCTACTTTTGGTACAACCATTACGCCACCTGCAGTGAAACGAAGTGTGGGGAAAATTATCATTCATGAAAATTATCACAGAGAGACAAATGAAAATGACATTGCTTTGGCTCAGCTGACTACCCGAGTTGAGTTTTCAAATATAGTCCAGAGAGTTTGCCTCCCAGATTCCTCCATAAAGTTGCCACCTAAAACAAGCGTATTTGTCACAGGATTTGGATCCATTGTAGATGACGGTGAGTAGTGTCGATCGAATTTTCTTAGCACAAAAATGGCTTGCAATGGAACAAGCTGTTTTAAAGAATCCTTCTTAAGCTTTTCATAAAAGTAACGGTGTTTCCAAGATGTGTGGCCCTGGGCAGAACAGGGAGCTGTGGACGAAAAGGTAAAAGAAATCAGGTCTCTGTCTCTGCGTTCACAACTGGAGCAGTACTAAAAAGAAGGAGAGACTAATATGGAAGAAAAGAACAGACTGTGTCAGGTGATATAAGAAGGGAAAAAATACTATGCGAGTGCAAGGGAGTAACTAATTACAAATTGTATGCTTCCTGGATGTAACTACTTGCGGTCAGCATATACTTTAAATCACAATCATAATGATAGCTTTTTTTTCTTTCTTTCAATCATTCTTCATTTTATGAGAATTTTTAATGGTCATAAACATGAAAATGGGTTGTGAATGTCTGGAGAATTTTCATTTTTGTTAGTTAATAGAATCTGTATTTTTTTTCCTTCATCCTACCTGCTCAGGTGTTAAAAGACATCAAGTCTAAGAATGTTTAAACTGAAGACTAGAACTTAAGATTTCTAGGTACTGGCTCATTCTGCTTTAAAGAGGGAAATTCACTGAATGGTTTAAAGTGAGAAAAGACATTTTATAAAATAAGACACCTGCACTCGAATGTTTATAGCAGCACAATTCACAATTGCAAAGATGCAGAACAACCCAAGTGCCCATAAATACATAAGTGGATCAATAAAATGTGGTATATGTATACCATGGAGCCACTCAAAAAAAAATGAACTAATACCTCTTGTGTTAACCTGAATGGAACTAGAGACCATTCTTCTAAAATTGTCACAAGAATGGAAAAACACCACATGTACTCACCATTAAATCGGAACGAATCAATCAACATTTAAGTGTACATATGGAAATAACACTCATGGGCAATCAAGAAGAGGGGAGCGGGGAGGAGGGGATGGGCAAATTCACACCTAACAGGTACAGTGCACACTATCTCAGTGATGGCCACATTTATAACTTTGACCCAAACAGTACAAAAGCAATTTATGTAACAAAAACATTTGTGCCTCCACAATATTCTGAAATTAAGAAAAAAGAAATACTTAAGGTTCTATAAAGGATATCTGAAGAAACTAGACATGCTAATGTATATCTTAATCTACCTTTTTTTTTTTTTGACGATCTTCTATTATGTAAAAAATTTGCCAAATGCTCCGTGCATATCCAACTCGGCTTTGGGAGAAGTTCTTAGAAGTCTCTTTTCATCTTTTCCCTACTGCTAGCTCTTGGTACTTACCAACAGTTTCGACCAGGAGCCCTAACCTCCTTCCCTTCCTGTGCTCAACTGAGCAGTATCCCCTCCTCCTGCCCCCAGCCCTGTTCTGTGCTGGCATCAGATCTCTGGCACGTGCTGGGCATCTGTTCTGTCCCCCATGCTGTGAGACAGCCCTAAGGAACACACTGCAGAGTAGGGTAGGGCAAGCGGATCTGTGCAGCTGTGTCCTGGCTTCTATCTGAATACTCTTGGGATATCGGTGAACTTCCATGGGCCATGGAAAATGTAGCAGTTGGACAAAGTCAGTGTGATAGGTCCCTATGAGAATCAAATGAAAGCTATGGACCCTCTCCTCATAAAAAATAAATGTGTATATATATGTGTGTGTGTATATATAATATTTCACACAGTTTTAGGGCTTTCAATAGCCCTGAAAGATCCACAAATATGATATGATACTGGGGCATGTATATTTATGGTTCCTTGTGATAAAATAAAATTAGGTGATAACTAATGTTAATTAAATAATCTTGGGCTTTTGCTCCTAGGAATATACAATTTATGTGTCTTCCATGTTTTAGATACTGTTGTATTTGAAGAACATATTTATTTTTTTGTTCCTTTGTGTAACAGGACCTACACAAAATATACTCCGCCAAGCCAGGGTAGAAACCATAGGCACTGACGTATGTAACAGAAAGGACGTGTATGATGGCCTGATAACTCCAGGAATGTTATGTGCTGGATTCATGGAAGGAAAAGTAGATGCATGTAAGGTAAGTCCAAAGTCAACAGATCTCAAAATTTATTCCTCCTGTCTAGCTAAAACTTTGTACTCTTGACTAGCAATGCGACTCCCCATTCCCCTGATCCCTGCCCCAACCAATACCTCCCAGCCTTTGGTAACCATCATTTTACTCTACTTCTATGAATTCAACTTTTCTTTTAGATTTCACATATAAGATCATGTGGTATTTCTTTCTGGGCTTGCCTTATTTCACTTAGCATAATGTCTTCTGGATTTATTCATATTGTCCTAAACAACAGAATTCCATTTCTTTTTTAAGGCTGAATAATATTCCATTTTGTATAGATATCACATTTTCTTTATCCATTCATATCTTGATGGACACTTAGATTGTTTCCATAACTTGGCTATTGTGAATAATGCTGCAGTGAACTTGGTAATGCAGGTATCACTTCAACACATTGATTTCAATTCTTTTGGATATATGTCTAGAAACGGGATTGCTAGATTATATGGTCGTTCTATCTTTAGTTTTTTTAGGAACCTCCATCCTGTTTTCCATAATAGCTGTACTAATTTACATTCCTACCAAGGGTGTACAAGGGTTCTCTTTTCTCCACAACCTCAATGAAACATTTTATCTTTCATTTTTTTGATAAAAGCCATTCTAATAGGAGTGAAGAGATATCTCATTCTAGTTTTAATTTGATTAGTGACAGATGCTGAGCATTTTTTCATGAGCCTGGTGGTCATTTGTATGTCTTCTTTTGAGAAGTGTCCTGTATCCATTTTTTAATCAGGTTATTTTCTTGCTATTGTTTTGTTTGACTTCCTTATATATTTTGGAGATTAATCTCTTATCGAATGTATGGTTCACAGACATGTTTTTTCCTATCTGTGGGTTGTCTCTTCACTTTGTTAATGGTCCATTTGCTGTTCAAAATCTTTCAGTTTTATGAAATCCTGTTTGCCTATTTTTGCTTTGGTTTCCTGAGTTTTAAGGTCATATCCAAAAAAAATCCTTGCCCAGACCAACATCATGGAGCTTTTTCCCTTTGTTTTCTTCTAGTAGTTTTATAGTTTCAGATCATATGATTAAATCTTTAATTCATTTTAGTTGATTTTGTGCACAGTGTAAGATAAGGGTCTAATTTCATTCTTCTGATATAGATAACCAGTTTTCTCAGCACCATTTATTGAACAGACAGTTGTTTCTTCATTGTACATTCTTGGTATCTTTGTCAAAAATCAATTGACCATAAATGTGTGTGTTTATTTCTAAGCTTTCTATCCCGTCCATTGGTTGATGTCTCTATTATGCCTGTACCATGCTATTTTGATTATAATTGCTTTATAATACATTTTGAAATCAGGTAGTGTGATGCCTCCAGCTTTGTTCTTTTTGCTTAGAATTGTTTTGACTAATTTGGGTCTTTTTTTGCTTCCATATGAATTTAAAGATTGTTTTTTATCTTTCCATGAAAAAATTAGAATTTTGATAGTGAATGGTTTAAAGTGAGAAAAGACATTTTATAAAATAAGACACCTGCACTCGAATGTTTATAGCAGCACAATTCACAATTGCAAAGATGCAGAACAACCCAAGTGCCCATAAATACATAAGTGGATCAATAAAATGTGGTATATGTATACCATGGAGCCACTCAAAAAAAAATGAACTAATACCTCTTGTGTTAACCTGAATGGAACTAGAGACCATTCTTCTAAAATTGTCACAAGAATGGAAAAACACCACATGTACTCACCATTAAATCGGAACGAATCAATCAACATTTAAGTGTACATATGGAAATAACACTCATGGGCAATCAAGAAGAGGGGAGCGGGGAGGAGGGGATGGGCAAATTCACACCTAACAGGTACAGTGCACACTATCTCAGTGATGGCCACATTTATAACTTTGACCCAAACAGTACAAAAGCAATTTATGTAACAAAAACATTTGTGCCTCCACAATATTCTGAAATTAAGAAAAAAGAAATACTTAAGGTTCTATAAAGGATATCTGAAGAAACTAGACATGCTAATGTATATCTTAATCTACCTTTTTTTTTTTTTGACGATCTTCTATTATGTAAAAAATTTGCCAAATGCTCCGTGCATATCCAACTCGGCTTTGGGAGAAGTTCTTAGAAGTCTCTTTTCATCTTTTCCCTACTGCTAGCTCTTGGTACTCACCAACAGTTTCGACCAGGAGCCCTAACCTCCTTCCCTTCCTGTGCTCAACTGAGCAGTATCCCCTCCTCCTGCCCCCAGCCCTGTTCTGTGCTGGCATCAGATCTCTGGCACGTGCTGGGCATCTGTTCTGTCCCCCATGCTGTGAGACAGCCCTAAGGAACACACTGCAGAGTAGGGTAGGGCAAGCGGATCTGTGCAGCTGTGTCCTGGCTTCTATCTGAATACTCTTGGGATATCGGTGAACTTCCATGGGCCATGGAAAATGTAGCAGTTGGACAAAGTCAGTGTGATAGGTCCCTATGAGAATCAAATGAAAGCTATGGACCCTCTCCTCATAAAAAATAAATGTGTATATATATGTGTGTGTGTATATATAATATTTCACACAGTTTTAGGGCTTTCAATAGCCCTGAAAGATCCACAAATATGATATGATACTGGGGCATGTATATTTATGGTTCCTTGTGATAAAATAAAATTAGGTGATAACTAATGTTAATTAAATAATCTTGGGCTTTTGCTCCTAGGAATATACAATTTATGTGTCTTCCATGTTTTAGATACTGTTGTATTTGAAGAACATATTTATTTTTTTGTTCCTTTGTGTAACAGGACCTACACAAAATATACTCCGCCAAGCCAGGGTAGAAACCATAGGCACTGACGTATGTAACAGAAAGGATGTGTATGATGGCCTGATAACTCCAGGAATGTTATGTGCTGGATTCATGGAAGGAAAAGTAGATGCATGTAAGGTAAGTCCAAAGTCAACAGATCTCAAAATTTATTCCTCCTGTCTAGCTAAAACTTTGTACTCTTGACTAGCAATGCGACTCCCCATTCCCCCGATCCCTGCCCCAACCAATACCTCCCAGCCTTTGGTAACCATCATTTTACTCTACTTCTATGAATTCAACTTTTCTTTTAGATTTCACATATACGATCATGTGGTATTTCTTTCTGGGCTTGCCTTATTTCACTTAGCATAATGTCCTCTGGATTTATTCATGTTGTCCCTAAACAACAGAATGCCATTTCTTTTTTAAGGCTGAATAATATTCCATTTTGTATAGATATCACATTTTCTTTATCCATTCATATCTTGATGGACACTTAGATTGTTTCCATAACTTGGCTATTGTGAATAATGCTGCAGTGAACTTGGTAATGCAGGTATCACTTCAACACATTGATTTCAATTCTTTTGGATATATGTCTAGAAACGGGATTGCTAGATTATATGGTCGTTCTATCTTTAGTTTTTTTAGGAACCTCCATCCTGTTTTCCATAATAGCTGTACTAATTTACATTCCTACCAAGGGTGTACAAGGGTTCTCTTTTCTCCACAACCTCAATGAAACATTTTATCTTTCATTTTTTTGATAAAAGCCATTCTAATAGGAGTGAAGAGATATCTCATTCTAGTTTTAATTTGATTAGTGACAGATGCTGAGCATTTTTTCATGAGCCTGATGGTCATTTGTATGTCTTCTTTTGAGAAGTGTCCTGTATCCATTTTTTAATCAGGTTATTTTCTTGCTATTGTTTTGTTTGACTTCCTTATATATTTTGGAGATTAATCTCTTATCGAATGTATGGTTCACAGACATGTTTTTTCCTATCTGTGGGTTGTCTCTTCACTTTGTTAATGGTCCATTTGCTGTTCAAAATCTTTCAGTTTTATGAAATCCTGTTTGCCTATTTTTGCTTTGGTTTCCTGAGTTTTAAGGTCATATCCAAAAAAAATCCTTGCCCAGACCAACATCGTGGAGCTTTTCCCCTTTGTTTTCTTCTAGTAGTTTTATAGTTTCAGATCATATGATTAAGTCTTTAATTCGAGTTGATTTTTGTGCACAGTGTAAGATAAGGGTCTAATTTCATTCTTCTGATATAGATAACCAGTTTTCCCAGCACCATTTATTGAACAGTTGTTTCCTCATTGTACATTCTTGGTATCCTTGTCAAAAATCAATTGACCATAAATCTGTGTGTTTATTTCTAAGCTTTCTATCCCGTCCATTGGTTGATGTCTCTATTATGCCAGTACCATGCTATTTTGATTACAATTGCTTTATAATATATTTTGAAATCAGGTAGTGTGATGCCTCCAGCTTTGTTCTTTTTGCTCAGAATTGTTTTGACTAATTCGGGTCTTTTTTTGCTTCCATATGAATTTAAAGATTGTTTTTTATCTTTCCATGAAAAAATTAGAATTTTGATAGGAATTGCATTGACTCTGTAGATCATTTGGGGTAGTATGGACATTTTAACAATATTAATTCTTTCAATACGTGAGTGTGGAATATCTTTCCATGTGTTTGTATTTTATCCAGTTTCTTCCATTAGTGTTTTACAGTTTTCAATATACAAGTCTTTCCTCTCCTTAAATTTATGTCCAAGTGTTTTTTGTTGTTGCTATCATAAATGAGATTGTTTTCTTAATTTCCTTTTAAATAGCTCACTATTAGTATATAGAAATGTTACTGCTTTTGTATCTTAGAACTGATAAACAAATTCAGTAAAGTTATAACAGTTTTTTGGTGGAGTCTTTAGGGTTTTCTGTACAGAA